GCCGAAGGGGGAGGCGTGGTGTGTGAATCGAGGTAAAATTGGGGACGAGTCGGGATGCGTCTACGTGCGAGAGGAGATGTCGAGGGAGAGGTTGGATTTGGGGAGAGAGGGCGGGTCGAAGTGGCTGAAGTCATTTTGACTAAGAATTTGGGGGGTGGGGATGCATTGTTTGGAGAGTGGCCTGGCCTTTATATCATAATTGTCGAGGTCAAAGCGTTGTGCCATTGATGCTCGTATTTGGAGGTATGTGTGGCATGTGGCCATTGTCAAAGCGTAGTGGAGATTCCGGGTAGAAGTAGTATTGTGGCATCCGCTTTCGGGGTGGCAGCTTGAACCAATACCCGACTCTAGGAGGGGCGTTGAATGTCGAGTACTGAGTGGCCGTGAGTGTGAGTAGCTGACTGCAAGCTCTTGGTTGGGGTTGAGCAAAAATGGCGGAGGTCACGACTGTAGTTTTCGACATGTGCTCACCTCATTTGCGACTAACCACCCGGTTCTGCTGCCACATCCATGAACTTGAACTGTGGCATCGACCATGTCCTTTATGCTCTTGTGTCGGAATGATATTGTCGCGTCAGTGGGCGTTTAGGTAGGTCTGTCTGATTCTTGGTCTGATTCGAGCAGCTGAGGTCAGGAACATTCGATTGCGGGACATCTATGTACTCACCATTGACCGAACTCAGGCGTCCTGTTGACCACTGGTTCCAGATTTAGGTGGCACTTTCGGGTAATGGCTTGGGCCTGGATCATATGAATAGGAATTGATGTGCTCACCTTGACTGCCACCAGCCTCTCGATTCAGGCGTCCCAATCCAGGCATCATAACGCCATCAATCGCATTCCCTTTTGAGGCCCTTGTCCTTACGAGCACAGTTAGCGTATTCGCGTTGTAAGGATCCTATTTCTCATGCCGAAGCGCCGAAGTCTGATGTTCGTCGAAAATCAAGATGTGAAGAGTTGACTGTCGGGTGGATGGATAAAGCCGCAAGAACTGGAGATTACAAGTCAGGTATGTGCTTACCATTAGGCCAATATTCCTGTCATCCTGGCCGGCTCGAGAGTAGGACTGAGTGTTATTCGCTGGATCTTTCTGAAAACGGTGGAAAGCGGTTATTTCCTGCCATAACCGCGGAACGAGTATGAATAGCTCACCCTGATGCTGCTGTTCTGGAGGGGGTCATTGTCAACGTCGAGATTGCAGATTCAGAAACGCGACCCACGTGGTCGGTTCAATGACGGAAGTTTGACCGGCAAACTCCGAAGCGTCTCTTTGCTACTCCCGCAATGATCGACTCTCATTCAAAACTTCCTTCCACTTTGTATTTCTTAACGCAGTTTCTTCGGTGCCAATCTCCTACAAAAATGAGGCCTAAGGTATTTGGCTCGCATGACCCAGCCACTACCGTCAAATCTCGACGCAAATAGGAGATATGCCCGGAAGGCTAGGATGCAGGATTCTGTTCATTGGATGGTCGAGTTTGTGCTTTTCAGAGCCAGAACGTTCAAATACAAACACGATCTTGAATTTACTCTTACCCTCCGCGGAATCAAACACCTAGAGATTCGTGGGTCCTCGATCATTCTTTCCTTCCTCCCATACAGAAGCGTGATTCCCGGGGCCTAGGGCCTAAAGGCTTGGAGTATCTGACCCGCTATACCGCAACCCAGCATTTCGATAGATATTTACCTGAGCTTCGACAAAGGCTCGAAGGACAGATAGGATATGTGCACGGAAAAGCAGGATGCCACCCTTTTCCTGATTTCAAACACACAAAACACGATCTTGGATGTATTCCTTGCTTCCTTCCGCGGGTTCAAAACACGCTCAGATTCGTTTAAGCTGTTGTCCGGATCCCAATGAATTTCGTGATTCGATTCTTCTTTCCCCTCCATGCGTCGGTTCTCCCTCCTGGGAGCGGTCTTGATATCCTTGTCTACCGTCGTGAACGTCAACGGGACACCAGAGAAGATTTATGGTGTCAATCTGGGCTCATGGTATGTCGAGTCTGGCAATTTTACTCTCTATTTTGAGGCCCTGATCTCATTCTTATTCAACGTTCCTCAGGCTTGTACTAGAGCCGTGGATGCTCCCAAGAGGTACGGAGCTACGGACTCGGCGTAAGCCATCGAGTTAACCTGAGCCTAGAGTGGGAAGCGATGGGTGGAGAGAACTGTGATCCATGCACTCTTTGCATTCGCAGTGAATTGTACGAAAAACCTCTTTCTCTTTAACAAACGTTGATAATGGTTTCTGTAGTGATCTTTCAAAAGCCTATCCAAACACGGTCGATCAGAAGTTTGATAAACATTGGTACGGTGTCAAGAAAAACGCGAGCGGTGTCTCCCCTCTGACGGATTTTTCTAGGGAAACCTGGTTCAATCAAGCTGACGTAGACGAGTTGGCTAGTCTGGGCATCAACACCGTGCGGATTCCGGTACGTTATTATTTCATGCTTAGACTAGAGTGAGCTCGCTTAATGCTTGATGAATAGCTTGGTTACTGGATCGTCGAACGTCTCGTAGACCGCGAGACCGAGTTCTTTCCTCGTGGTGGTATCAAGCATCTCGTATGTCCATCCCTGCAAGTTTCTTCCACGATGCAGGCTCATCGTCGACGATCTGTAGCGCCGAGGACTCAACCAGTTGAAGAAAGCCGGTATCGAGGTCATCCTCGACCACCATGCAGCTCCCGGTGTGCAAGCCTTCGAACAGATGTTCGCGGGAAGGTAAGCAACGCTGGTTTATCCTTTCGAAACGCAGACAGTATCATTAACAGTTTAATCATATAGATGTACCCCAGACGTACAATTCTACGTGCGTTTCCCTACCGAGTTCAGTTTCATGGCGCTGACGACCATTGTCTTGAATTAGACCGACGAGAACTACCAAAGAGCTCTTACCTGGACAGCCGTGATGACGACCCTCTCGCATATTGATCCTGCGTTTGGCACCGTATTCGCCATTCAAGCTGTAAACGAGCCGTTGATGGACGCGTATCAGACGCCCGGGTATGGTGAATGTATGTTCTTGGTCTCGTATGTATTCCCCTCTGAGCCTCATCGCCCTTTCCCCACACAAAAGTCCAGAAAAACTTTGTCCTGACAGTTCGAATTGTCGAAGCTATACTAGGCATCTGGACATTTGACGACGACGACTTGGTTTCGCGTCTCCTCTTCCCTGGTCCTCAGCCGGTATCGTTATTGGACGCGTTCAAAAAGGTTGCTGGGGATCCAGATTGTTATTTTAGGTTTCCCGGACAGGCGTTGAAGGCTGTTGCGGATGCGGTACCGATTGTGGAGGAAATCTTGCGTGATGAGGGGTATGGGTATGAGTTCCGTAAGGGTGCTGATGCTGGTCGAGCGGATAAAGGGGTCGATGTAGACTTGGGAGGGGTTTTGGATGTCAGTCTTCATTTCGGGAGTGGGTCGTTCAAACATCGGGAAGCGTTGTATACAAAGTGAGCTAGTTCTTTTCATACTTTTTTTATCGAGTTTAAGGCTCAACCTTCCCTTCATCGAAGCTTCATGGATAGAAATTGGCAATACAACAACCCGCCCAACCCAGCAGACGCTGCGATTGGACCTATTGGGTTTGACAATCATCTGTATTATTCCTTTGGGGTGAGTCGACTGTATTTGAACGAAAGCTTCTAGTTTACCTTCATCGTTACCGCAGGGGGTCGCCGACCCCTACCCGGAAGCATACCTCATCCATATCTGCAGTGAGTGATTCAGGTACCTCAGGCCTCAGCTATGACTGAGTATTTACCTTTACCATTCGACTTGTTTACTAGACCTGAGGCGAGTTGAGAATGATCGAGCGTTCAACAACACGCCGTTGTGGTTTGGAGGTGAGCCGTCCGATCAATGATTGTTTCGGTATCAACCTTACGCCACGGACCGTCGCTCATAGAATGGGCTCTTCCGACACAATTCAACGCGTCCGATGAATTTTTGCGCAAGTGGGCTGATGCACAGAAGGTTGCATATGGGCGGGGCTCTGGGTGGATCGTGAGTCTGAGCGTGTCCCGAGGCTAAGAAGACGCTCTGATCTCAAACTTGGCGCTTATATAGTTCTGGAATTTTAAGATTGAGAGCGGTCAGGAAATTGGCAGAGAATGGTACAATGACCTTCCCTTCCTTGCCAATCGATACAAACACTAACCAATCCATTCACTCTCGGAACTCAGGTCATACACCGAAGGTGTCCGCCGAGGCTACCTCACCCCCAACCCCGCCGATTTGTTCGATCCACATGTCTGCGACCCGTACTACAACCAGACCTTCACTGCAACTGCCACAACGACCGAAGCGTCCTCCACCACGACTTCAACTACGACAACTACGCGTCTTGTCACGACGACTACGACGGAGGCGTCTTATACGACTACTCGGACTGTTACAAATACGGTTAATACGGCGCAGGGGCAGGGGCCTACGCAGATACCTCCACCACAACCGACGACGTTGACGAGTACGGTGGTGGCGAGTGGGGTGATGACGGCGAATGCAACGATGACGATAACTACTTTTACTACGTTCACCACGACGCAGGAGAGGGGGACGACTACGACTACGAGGTCGGTAACGGTGGGGTCGAAGGGAGGATGGGGAGATGGCGGGTGGATATGGTAGTGTTGGATTCATCGGTCGACCACTGAGGTTTGGATACCTAAATTGGCGACACTCGAGTCCTTGGTATCACTGTTCACTCGTTTTAGATAGTCCATTCGTTTTAGATAGTCCATTCGTTTCCTGATCCAATTACTGATTCATTGGCATACTTTTATTTCCTCAGATAACGTTCTTTCCTTGTCGCTCCTTTGCCTATTCAGTCAATTTCTTCAGATTATCTCTCTGATGATATGCTCAATATGCGTCACAATGCATGAAGTTTGAAAGTTGCCGTGGTCTATGGGATTCAAAACTCAGAGACTCCATTGCCCGCCTTGATGGTCTGTTTTGGGGGAATATGGATGCTCGACTTTCTCACTGCAGCAAGGCGAGATGGCCGAGCGGTCTAAGGCGCTAGAATCAGGCAAGTTGCAGAAGCAACGAGCAATCTAGTCCTCCGGGGCGTGGGTTCGAATCCCACTCTCGTCACTGGTCATTGAAGACTTTTCTTTTTCTTCTTCAGGAAGACCGTAAGTCTTATTCTATCTGTTTTCGTATATATGCAAGTAAAAGTGGACTCTGGTCGGGACCGTTCTCAGAACTCCACGTCGTTCCACGTTTTGCCACGCCCAATTATGGCTGAGTCCTGGTGAGTCACAATCCACATGATCTGTGACACCGCAGGCAATCGTGTTGACTGACGTGTTGCCACGTCGAAGGTACTGGTTTCCGCTGAACCACCACGTTGGTGGCCCCTGACACTCTTCCTCCACGCCATATATCTTTTTTATCGTACCTTCGTTCTTTCTTTTTCTAATCTCCTTTCCCACTATCTTGTTGTACGACGAATCGCACGAAAAAAAACAATGTCCGATTCCCACTCGTATTCATCACCTACACCCGAACCCGAGCCATCGGCGCCGGGCCCCTCCAATACAAACCCGCGCAAGCGAGCTCGATCTGAAGTGTCGCCGGAGGAACGACGAGAAGCTCGAGCTCATCGAAATAGGATCGCAGCTCAGAACTCTCGTGATCGAAAGAAGGCTCACTTCTCGCACTTGGAGCAGAGAGTAGCTGAGCTTGAGGACGAGAACAAGCGGTTACGTGCTTCGATGTCTTTGCCGAGCGCCTCAACTGCGGGGACGGCGAAGACCAAGGAGGAAGAGGAGAGGAAGGAGAAGGAGAATGCTGAGCTCAGAGCGAGGATAGCAACCTTGGAACAAGGTTTGGAGGCTGTTGTCAAGGCTTTCACCGGCCAGACGACGACGAACGGGACAATGACGATGGCGACGGCGGGAGTGATCCCCACGCAATCGAGTGTTCCGTTTGGTGGTGTAGTCTCATCGTCGACAACGACCACGCCCTCATCACATCCGTCGACGTCGGCGACCTCCACACCGCCTACGACGTTGACACCGTCGACCGATTTGTCTGCAACCACAGCAACACCATTCTCACCCGCACCCTCACCGTCGATTCATGATCTATTCAGTACCCCAATGTCACAGTCATCTGCTTCCCTGCCCTCGATACCGACCTTTACGCCCCTCACTCCGATTACCCCTGTCACATACTTGCCAGAGTTAGAACCAGAGTCAGATTCCACTCGCCACCTAGCACGGGTGGCGAATACACGGGAAGTTCCCCGTGTTTCCCTGCAGCGGGTGGATCTGAACTCTCGCTCGACCTCTACGCGTCCGCACTCACACCATCCCAAGACAACAGCAGCACCATTGACACTACTGCCGCCTCCTCCGATTCCTCATGCCCACCAATCGCTCTCGATGACGCAGCGATGGAAACTCTGTTCCGGGAGATCCTTGTCAACGCCCACCACGGACAGGATGAGGGTGAGGATATCGACGCAGGAGCGAAGGCCGAGGGTGTACCATCTGTTGATCTGCTCGAGGGCGCCGGACAACAGCAAGCTCAAGCTCAAGGGACAACGGAAGCGGAGAAGACCACATCGGCGCAAGTAGGCGTTGGTGGTGAGGCGACCGAGCTGATGGGTTCTGGTGGATTGGTGGGGAGCGAGATGGGATTTGGGATGACGGATATGGAATTTGATTTCGAGAACATTGGGATGGACATGGACACGAGCGGGATTTCGGCGACTTGGTTGAACGACGATACGACTAGGCTCTTGGAGGACCTTGTGGCGTCGGCAAGTACCAGCAACGACGCTACTGAGCCCAGCACACCACCGACGTCAATGTCATGGGAGTCGTTTGAGGCTTCTTTGAAGGCGTCTGGTGTGTATTAGTTGGACGCTGTTCCCTGGTTCCTCCCCTCAGCATCTTTGGACTATTTTCTTGTTCTCACTTCTATATCTCTACTCTACTTAGTGTGTATCATAGCCGCTTCGTCTCCATCTCGAATCCTGTCTCCTCTACTTATTCATCTCTGATACCCTCCGGTCTCTGTTGCTTCTCTATCGTTTCTTATTATCATCATTTTCTCGGTGCATCATCACAGAGTACTCTCGTTTCTCGTTCTCTTCACATTCGCTACTCTACCTACTCTTTCCCCTATCTCCTGTTAGTACTATACCGCCCCCCGCCTTCCCTCTTCTCTCCCCTGCTCACGCATACGCGTCCCTCACTCTCCCTCTTCCCCCACACAGAAGTACCCTTTTTGACTCTCCTGATGCATTGCTCCTACCTTCGGGCGGTGAGCGCTTAGGTCTGTTCACTTTGGGTTACTTTTCTGTTGGTGGGTCGGTGGCGAGAAGGATGGGGCGTTCGTTTCGCGCGTGTCGTTTGGGTGTGGGGAATTGGGATGTGTTGGGGTTTATATAGTTCTACCTACTCTTATCCGACGTGTGGTAGTTAGTAGTAGCGTGTATCGAGTACGAGAAATACTTTTGGTGCTATATCGACGCGAAGCTTCTCTGTGTCCGACTTACTCTTATATACGAGAGAGCATGCTACGTAGTACGCACCTTGCGTGGCAGGATTGACGTGTTCGTTTTCGTCTCGTCGAGAGGAAGAATGGATGATGGGAGCCAAGCTCCAGCGGGTTCGTACGTGTCCGTTATCTAGTATGGTCTTGGCTTGCGTCGCTTGAAGTAAGAGATGCGTTGGTCGATGAGGTAGAACTTGATGTGGACTCTGACAGACCAAGTCTGATCACTCCATATCAACGTGTCGGCCTTCGGGATCACAGGCGTTCGTGTCGGACTCGTTCTGGTAAGTCGAAGAAATAGCTACAACTCAATCATGAAGGGGACAGGAAATCGACTACTCGACGCCCGACACCCATCGAGTCTCAGAGTCCACGTGAAACTTTGACCTCGAACTTGATCGGAGCACTATATCTGACGCCCATGTGGACCTACAACGTGTTCAGCTGTCCTTCGTCGTAGCATCGCCCGTTTCCATTTATGATTTGTGAGTTTTCCGTGATTTATTCGAGGCTGAATAGGTAAATATTTCGGAAAAAGCGTAGATAACAACTTGAAATGGCATCGAAAGCGAGACAGATCGTAGCGGAAACAATGTAGAGAACAAAGATAGCAGGGTAGGTGTGACCACAGATCTTCAAAGCAGAGCGAGGTAATACAGTAGAGCAACGTAACAAAGCCGGGAAGCGTGATGGATACAGAAAGATAGCGATGGATTGACGTGAGCATGAAAAGCAAATGGAAAGCGAGATAGCGGGAACCTATAAATACACAGCGAAATCAAATTGGACGAGACGAGGAGAGGAAAGAAAAAGAACACAGCGACGCGGTAGGAAGAGGTGGGGAGAGTCCGAAGGAAAATGAAGTTGGACGGAACGGTACCAGACGGCCTAACGCCTAGGACCCCGAGCTTGCGGGGTTTTGAGGAGGCGGTGAAGAATTGAGAGAACGGGACCAGAGAACTGTCACGACGATTGTGAGCTTTGAGAAACAAAAAGAACAAAGGCAGCGACGTGGTACTTACCGAGGCACCGGCAGTTTGCTGAATGGCGGTCAGAATGGCACTCGGATTCATTGGGTAAAGATGGTAGCGAGTTTTGAGTATCGTTGTAGTAGGGGGTCCCAGCCTAGAGCCTACCCTAATGTCCGAATATCATTCTGAGGAGGTCCTCCGCCTGTGCATCATTCTCCTCCTTACTGACTGACGACTTGACGACTTTGGAAGGCATTTCTCCGGGGTCCTGTGGTTCCTGCTCTCCAAGATTATTGATTTTGTTCCAAGCGGCGAACATATGTTCTTCGGCCAACCCTTCCTCCACTGCTGAGGGATCATGACCCGAGAGGGGATCGAGCCAATGATGATCCAGCCGAAGTTTCTGGATTAAAGGAGATAGCGTCATTGTCAAATTTGTCATTTGGTAGTGTCGAACGGTCGGGCGAGAGATGATAAAACTTCCTTCTTGGCAGCCTTCTGGACTCTGCAGCGAGAAATGGAACCGATACTCGGGGGGCGAGGCGAAATCAAGGGGAAGCTCCCCTTGCGCTTCCGTTGCCTCTGATTGGTCAGGACTCTCCACCGTCTCGAGTGCTCCTTCTGGGCTCTGTGGTTGCTTCTCCTGTACTCCAGGACCTGGGCGCTCGATAAAACAATGAACCTCACTCCAGGAAGCAATAGGATCCACTACATCATCCACCGCTCCTGAGGGGTTCGGCTCGACCCAATAACGATCCACCCGGAGTTGTCCAGTGAGGGGAGATAGCGCCATGACGAGCGTCTTCAGTTTGGTATGTCGAGTGGTTTCGGGGGAGAAGCTGAAACCGCCGTGGTAGCGACCGTCTGGACTTTCCAGAGAAAATTGGAATCGAAAGACGAGGGGAGGGGTGTTTTCCTGTGTAATGAGGTCGTAGGTTTTCGATATATCGGAGGCTGACTGAGGTTCATCGGAGGCGGTGAAATATGTTTCTAGCGAATCTAGAACGACCTTAGCTTTCGCGACCTCACTTAACTGTGAGGGGCTACTTGGGATAGTTGGAGTGTTTTCTCCCGCCGCCCTCTCTGTGGTATTAAGCCCAGGGTCAGCGTCCGGGTGGATACGAAGGAACCCCCGTTGAACGCGAAGAGGGGGGCCTATAGTTCTTGGGGCGAAGTCGATCTTGAGGCTCCTGAACACATATCTATCGTGGTGCAGATGTGATATGTGTACCTCGTACCAGCCTGGTGGAATACACGGGAAATCGTCGAACTGGGTTACCACTATATCGTTCACGATCCCCTTTGGTCGTTCAATTGGTTTCTCCCTACTGCAAATTTCAGTGGGCTTTTTTTTAGAAGGATAGTAGTTTCGATCGTATGAGGAATAGGATCCAGGAGGGACCTGAACCAGTTGTGCTGTGAACGAGAGCCTGATATCAGGTGGACCGTGAGACTTCGCCGAAAGGATAGGAAGAATTCTTCCATGTACAGGTACGTGTATCAACGCCGTGACGCGAACATGCTGTGGCAGCAGCAAGTCGGGCCCAATTGGGAGGACAGAAAGACGAGGTTTCTCCGCTTCTGGTAAAGCCGGTATGGTTTCCAACCCAGCCC